GAATGCTGGGCAATCTCCTCCCAGATGAAGAAGAGACTGAAAAGAGTACTAAACTGTTACGTAAAATCAGTCCTCCTATATGACAGTGAATGCTGGGCAATCTCCTCCCAGATGAAGAAGAGACTGAAAAGAGTACTAAACTGTTACGTAAAATCAGTCCTCCTATATGACAGTGAATGCTGGGCACTCCCAGATGAAGAAGAGACTGAAAAGAGTACTGAACTGTTACGTAAAATCAGTCCTCCTATATGACAGTGAATGCTGGGCAATCTCCTCCCAGATGAAGAAGAGACTGAAAAGAGTACTGGACTGTTACGTAATATCAGTCCTCCTATATGACAGTGAATGCTGGGCAATCTCCTCCCAGATGAAGAAGAGACTGAAAAGAGTACTGAACTGTTACGTAAAATCAGTCCTCCTATATGACAGTGAATGCTGGGCAATCTCCTCCCAGATGAAGAAGAGACTGAAAAGAGTACTGGACTGTTACGTAATATCAGTCCTCCTATATGACAGTGAATGCTGGGCAATCTCCTCCCAGATGAAGAAGAGACTGAAAAGAGTACTGGTGTTACGTAATATCAGTCCTCCCAGTATGACAGTGAATGCTGGGCAATCTCCTCCCAGATGAAGAAGAGACTGAAAAGAGTACTGGACTGTTACGTAATATCAGTCCTCCTATATGACAGTGAATGCTGGGCAATCTCCTCCCAGATGAAGAAGAGACTGAAAAGAGTACTGGACTGTTACGTAATATCAGTCCTCCTATATGACAGTGAATGCTGGGCAATTTCCTCCCAGATGAAGAAGAGACTAAAAAGAGTATTGACCTGTTACGTAATGTCAGTCCTTCTATATGGCAGTGAATGCTGGACAATCTACTGACAGTTGAAAAAGAGACTTGAGGCAACAGACAAGTGTTCCTTCAGAAGTATATAGAGAATGCCATAGTCTGTGAGCAAAGACGAAGTTTGAAAGAAAATGTAAATATAAAGGAAAAAGTCTGTTGCAATTTCTAGAGTACATAAATGGGAGAGAGTGCTTGGAAAATTTGATACACACAGGATAACCTGAACGCAAGAGGGACAGAGGAAAACAACGCATAACCTACTTAATGAGCTGGTGTACGTAGATCGAGGATCAGGGAGATAAGAAAAAACAAAATTTATTAAAAGCTACAAAGTCCAAGAAATTATGGAGAGCCATGGCCATCCACGTCCTGGAGGGACACGGCAATTAGAAGAAACAGAAACCCATATGTAAAATGTTATTGTAAATAATTCTCATGACTACGTCGAAAAATATGGGACATTTTCACCTTCGAACCCTGTTGCTAATTTGTACTTATACCATCTTTTTGCATAGGGAAGTTTACACTGTTCGTAATACAGGTAACCCTACATTTATTTTTAAATTTACTTGTGACTAGGGTACAGAACCCAAATATTGTTCAATAGTTTCGACGTCTTCAATATAAAAATTGTCCAGAGCCTGGCAGGGGTTCAACCATTTTTACCTAAACTCTAACAGACAATGGATCTTTCGGTATATTCTGTTTGAATTTCTGAGACAAGACTCCAAGTTGTCCACACAGAATTGTCCCACCGTACAATATTAGAATAAAGCGTTAGTTCTTGAATTTGATGACATAGTAATTGTAGGTCCAGGTAGAGTGTACTCGAAAACAGCAAATAAAAACACAGCAGGTAATATATATATATATATATATATATAAGAACTAGATGAGATATTCTTAAACGTGAGCAGTGTAAAAAGAAGAATCTAACCTCATAGATTAAATATGGTTTCAGTTCGAAATTACTAGTAGGATACTCAGACCATCATACACCTGGTGAAGCCCGGATGGCACATCGGCCGAAGTAAAAACAAAAATGAAGACAATAATCCACGGGTAAATAAAGTAAATACCATTAAATATTAATAACTTTTCATCATCACTTAGACGATCTTTAAATTCGCACTAGTCACGATTGCACGCGAAATGAGGCTCCCTATTTTGAGCGTCTTATGCCAGACAATAAGTGAAACGCACACATACTTTTGCAAATTGTTTGAAACAAAACAAATAATTCCATTACTATTTCCTTTTTTTCGTATTTTTCCAATGAAACATGACCCAGTGCACATGTTAGTACTTCGTATGTCCATTCCACGAAGTCGTTCCTTGCAGATTGACCACAGATTCTCGATTGGAGAGTTTCCGGGCCAGTCTATAGTATATTGATTTGCTCACTGGTAAGACTTGCCAGTGTGTTCATGCAACATTACAATTTTCATACCCTTCCTTGGAATAACATCCATCGCAGACAATGGCTGTACAACAACTAATCGACAGTCGAGACAACAGTGTCTGGGCATAAAATCTGATGCAATCACGGATGAGGCAATATCTTTCAAAGCCAAATAAATTTCATCATACACACCAAAAATAGATTTATATTACTGTGCACCACTGCAAATGACCTAATATTATGAAAAAAAATAGAAATCGATTACACCCTATCACTCCAGTGGGTCTAAAACTGAGCGTATGGTGAAAGAAATGAAACTAAAGCAGTTGTTTCCATTAATTTGCACAAGGGTGTATGGGATCAACAGTTTCATCAAATTAATAGTATAAGTGGCAGGCGAGATTTAAGTCATTTTGTTGAGCCATTTTGTCTGCATTAGTCGGAAGACATTGATCTTGTACTGCCATAATAAGGCCTTCCGTCTCCTCCCCCTTAAGACAACTGCTTCTAAGTCATTGATGAATTTGGCAAATATCGATGTCTGGTTCATCCAGAACGTTTTGTTTATTTTCCATACATGGATTTCAATCTCCATGTTTGTTCAAGAATCGTCATATAAGCAGCTTTCACCAGTAACTTAATGTTCTTTGCTTCAGCGGTGTGAGATCCATGATATATGATGTCTTCAGTATCGATTACAACTAAGGAGTTTCATATTTCTTGGCTTTCTTTAATGATTGAAGAATTCTTGGCACTCTCATGTTTGAGTGCAGACCTCAGATACTTGTTTCGTTTCTAAAAACAAATAATAATAATAATAATAATAATAATAATAATAATCATCTCCTATAATAAGAAATCCTCTTGAAACCAATGAAAGGAGGAGGGTATGTAGGAGAAGCAATAGATCAACTCAGGGAGTTAAACCTAAAAGGTTCCGGGGGTGTAGTGAGATTGGTTAGGCTAATACTAATTAGCATAACCATACCACTATATATAGGCAGAACTCGAGATAGATGGGAGGAGAAAGTCATTTGTGACCTTTATTACCATTGTGCGTAAATTAACTTCATAACAAATACTACTACTACTACTACTACTACTAATAATAATAACAATAATAATAATGCAGTTTGAATATCATTTATTGGAAATTCTTGGGACCGGAAGTGCTTAAGTTTTCAGATTTTTTTGATTTTTTTCGAATTCTATAGTACAGACTATTTAATTTGTATATAGCATCTATAAAATGAGACAGCTTAGGAATGAAACTCAAGTATAAACACAATATTACTTTTCATTCCATAACACAGCTTATGCATATATCCTGAAGGTAGTTTTATATAAATAACATATACCCTGAAAGTAGTTTTTAATACATTTTCTGTACATGCAGATACAAATATCACAAGACATGTAATACTCACACGGAATTTTAAATGGTGAAATTAAGATTTCACGTGAAAATAATGTTTTTTACTTTCTGTACGTGTACGAAAAACCTGATTACTACTTACAAAAATGCAACACCAAACACGACTTCTACATCAGGCGTGAGAAACTAGAGGGAGAGGGTACATCTTCGATGACATCAAGGTGAGTGTCAGAAGGTAAATTCGATAAGTTATCAATCTCTACCAACGATGTCGTGTTTTCTTTAAAATTTTACAATACATACATTTACAGCATTTGCATAAAAACAAAACATGGATTCTGATTACGGTTAAATGTAATAAAAACAGAAAAAAAGTCAGCATTTTATTTGCAACGCAATAACCATGCTACTGGCAGCCATGTTGCTTTCTGAAATTTTCCATTAATGGAAAGTCATGTCAGCACCTGAAAAACTTTCGGATTTTGGAGGTTCTCGGATTTGGGAAATTCGGATAAATGATATTCAAACTGTAATTATTATTATTATTATTATTATTATTATTATTATTATTGTTGTTGTTGTTGTTGTTGGTGGTGGTGGTGGTGGTGTTGTTGTTGTTGTTCAAGAAGGAACAGTACGCCAATAAATTGACGCTGGTGCACAAATATACGAAACCCAATGTCCCCATCATGATACCCAGTCTGATAAGGGTATACCAGGCACATGTTCCACAGCCAAATGCGGACGATATGCTTGCTAACAGATTTTGATAATAAACATAGCCTTGTAGTTAGGGGCCACTTAGAAATGTTTTCAGTTTGAGGATCCCTGTCTATTTAGACAGTCTTCGATTGGGGGTGTTTCGAAGTATCTATTTGATTATTATTATTATTATTATTATTTTATTTCGTTTGATTTCTGATGTGTAATCATTTCTTTCCGGGTCCCGCCCAGGGACCTAAGGTTAGAAATGGCATCATGACGTTTTCCACTGAAAAAAAAAATTACATAGGCAAAGCCCATCGAAAGATGAGAGCTGTACTCGTGAGAACAATTTTTTTGTATTTCTTTAAGGCATGGGCTTCCAGGGATCCCTTCATTTAGTCTACTGGAATCTTTTCCAAGCAATCCGAGGGCTCCAAATACAACGGGGATTTTTTATCTTCCCATCTGCCACATTTTTCGATTTCAAGGTCCTTATATTTTAATATCTTTTTTAAGATCTTCAAAGATACATTGCAATCTGCAGGGACTTCTATATCAATAAGGAGCCACCTTTTTTATGTGCGATCTCTAATAACATTATTATTTTATTATTATTATTATTATTATTATTAATAATAATAATAATAATAATACACGTTTTAAAACGTATGGCATTTTTTCAAGAATTTTTGTCTGAGTTACTTCCCTTGATTATCGTTTCTTTTCACTGTTTTCTTTCTTTTGCTGTTTACCTTCTTGTAATTTTATCTCCTCCTACGTTTCCTATCTTCCTATTTTCTTCCTCTTTTATTCTTTTTCTTGTTTCCAACATGGTAACATTCTCTCAGTCGAGATACTAAACCGGCAATCGATAAAACGTCATTGTTCCACACCTTATCCTTCCACGCCTTCCGTATTCTGACGCCATCTTTTCTCTGATAACCAAATGACCGTCTGCACCCATCCGCCAAGACCCACCCCACACCGTAAATTGGCTTTCCTGTTTAGGTTGGGTCGATTCTATTATCAAACTGAAAGAAAATAAAATAGGAAAGGTTTCAGTTTGAATCCTTCCACATTTAGAAAAAAAATAACATATAAAAATATATAGATATTGAAATTCTAATTAAATTATCCTTAAAAACAATTATCCTCTCAATAATGAGCTAAAACTAAAAGTAATTAAAGATATGGGTGTCAACATTGTTTATTGTATTATACTCGTGTATAAGTCGACTTCATGTATAGTACGACCCTTAAATTCTTTTGTGAAAAATCTTTTTTTATAGCTCGTGTATAATGTGACCCCCAGCTTCTGAGCAGTACTAATGGGCCTAATACTAGTCAAATATTGAAGTCCTGGACAGATTTTATAGCAAATAAATGGTCTTCATTGTTTTTTGTACAAAGCTATCCCAGAACAGTGAGAAAAACCATTTACCGTAAAACATCCGATACGATGATTTAGATACTGGATTTTTTTTCATGCCTGACTACGGTAGCTCCTTTACTCGGGACCGTTAACATTAACCAAAAGCATGAAAAGCAGTACGAATCAGCAGTCAGGTTAGGTTTAAAGCTCCACGTTTAAAGCCATGAGAATTAACCTACGGGATATTTGTCCAGTAGACTGAAGCGTTGGTTCGTGATTTAGCGACATATATACCTGACGAAGGCCGAAGGGCACAACGGGCGAAACGATGTGATAACAACAAAAAAGATGAGGACAATAGTCCGAATGTAAATATTAGAAATAATGAAAAGCCCTCATCCCAGAAATTCAGACATTATCTGATCGAGCGTTTATTTCCTGTACTATGTAAATGTGATCATTTTTTTAAAATTGTTTCTTCTCGCTTCATGTTTTGAATTATCGAACAGAACTTCTGGTCGATCTCTCTACCTCTGGGCAGAGAGAAACCCAGACGAGGCTATGACGAAGAGCAGAGTCTCGTCTAGAGAGGTAGACAAAACCAACACCGTGTATACAGGATCTACAGGGAATTTTTGCCTCAGCCTACGATCTCGGAACGCCCCACGTTAAAAGCCGGCCTTGTGCCACATCCTGCAATGTGGGGAGGCTTCGGGTAAATACCGAAGTATCGAATCTACAGTTAGTGTTATTGTGTCGTTTTTTTTTTTTTTTTTTAATATATTTAGTGTTTGTTGCTACATTTGATAGCATTTTTATGATTGGTTGCGTGCTTTTATGTTTAAACCTTATAGTAGTCGTAATCGTTTTTTACAGTTTATGTAAAAAATTATGTTCGTTATATGTAAGGATTTGTTGCATTTCTTGTGCTTTACTCTTGCATTGGTTCGTAATATGTAATATGAAATTAATATACGGTATATACTCATGTATAAGTCGACTTCATGTACAGTGCCACACCTAAATTCTTTTGTGAAAAATTTGATTTTTTAACATAGCTCGTGTATAATGTAACCCCATCTTCTGAGCAACACTAGTGGGCCTACCGTAGTTAAATATGACCGATGTTAGAAACTATCTATTGTTTTTTAACATATATATATATATATATATATATATATATATATATATATATATATATATATATATATATATATATATATATATATATATATATATATATATATATATATATATATATATAATCGCCGAGTGGTTAAAACGTTCGCATTCTGACCATGAGACCCGGGTTCGAATCTCGCCATGGTCGATTTGTCAGAGCCTTCCTGATGTTATCGGGCTGGAAGGTCGTGTGGCACCTTTGGAAAGTGCCCGAAAGTCATACCACGGGTTGACCCAAGCCTTGTGATTGAAATTAAGTAGACGGAACTATTAGGGTGCCGTATATATCTGTGCTAGAATGAAGTCACAAGTCATCATGGTCATGTCCAAATTTTTGATCACGCTAGATAACAGGCTCTTTCCCAGAAACTGTAACTAAGGTCTGCTCATCATAGTTGCAGTATAAATCACAGGTGGGCTCTGTGGGTGTTGAATAAATACAAATACGCCTGAGTAAGCGTCTGCAATAGGGAATACGTGTGGCCAGCTATACAAATATACAAATATATTTGAGAATTCTGATTGGTCGATCATTAATCAAAAGCTTGAAAGAACGGATGAAGTATTTGTACTTGAAGCGAGGTGATATGATTCTCCTTTCAGCTTCCTAGAGACAAGCAGAAGCGCTTCTAGTGCTCTGGGCTGAGCTGCTTGGGGATAGTAGCCGTGGTTCGTGGGGCCACAGTCCTATGGGTAAAAGAGAAACTCGGATGAGTTCCACCACGGAATATATGATCGAGCAGCGCTACATTGAGTTTGATTTGCTACCCATTCGTCACCGAGGCCCACTTGGAACAGTTGGTATGATGTTCGCTTGAGAACCCAACTGTCAGGGTTTCAATTCTCGGTAGTGGATGCGCACTGCTGATGGGTCCCAAATATAGGAAGAATCGAATCCAGTTCCGAGGTTCGTAACATTCAATTTAAAAGCTGGCTCAATACAATAGTAGAACTGCGTTCTTTATTTTAGGATATTACATCAAAAACATATAAAAAGCGCTACACTAATGCAATCATGTTTCGATGTGTATTAATCAGGTGTTAATAAATACTAACGCCTGATGTGTTAATGCACATCGAAACATCACTGCTATTCGATATATATATATATATATATGAAAGAAAAATACAGAAAAAAACAAAATTCTGAATATGTCCATTAATGTTAAAATAAAGTCGACGTCGGACGTTTCGGTCTAATTTAATTATGTTTAAATGAAAATGTCCATTAAGATGGTCTTAAATAGACAATTTCCGACGTCGACGATTTTAACATTAATAATGCATATTCAGAATTTTGTTTTTTTCTGTATTTTCTTTCATACTGTCGGATTTATATCCATATATTATATATATATATATATATATATATATATATATATATATATATATATATATATTCAACACAATCACTTAATAAGACACCAGAAGAGTTGAAACAAAATGACTATTTTTGTAGTGATTTTATAACATGTTTATAATTCTATTTGTTCTACTCTGTATTGAGCACTCTTTTAAAACTAGTATTTGTTGCTTACTGGAATTTATTCCGTATACACCAATCCTATACTTGGGTATATATATATATATATATATATATATATATATATATATATATATATATATATTACACACATGCAGGCAATCATTTTCATCAATCGAAGTCGTTGAAATACTTTTTGCATTTCCAAGTTATCACAGTCTTGACCATGTTGATGTATATATATATATATATATATATATATATATATATATATATATTGTTATGGGACCTTACCCATAATAACATAATGGACTATTCCATACGTAATAAATACTGCGCCTCAAGAGGAAGCAGAGAGTTCAGTCCGAAGTCGGGCGACCGGCTGATCGGCTGATCGGTTGAACTCTCTGCCTTCGGGCGGGAGGAACCCGAACGAGGCTAAGCTAAAGGGGGGAGTCTCATTCGGGGAGGTAAACCGACCCTGAACCCGTTTATACGGGTTCAAAGGGAATATTTTTGGCCGAGCCCACGATAAACCGGCCTTGTGCCACATGATGCCCTCGTGGGGGTGACTAAATACTGTTCAGTCTGAAGTCTGGAGTGAGGTCTGTCGGAAGTCCGTCAGGAGTCTGTCAGTCAGAGTGAGCCAGTCAGTCAGTCGAGTCAGAGGCAGACCGAAACAGAGTCGCGTTCAGACAATTACTACTAAACCTGATTGTTCATACTAACACTTCTACATCTCTGTATATATTCCTGTTTGTAATATATCTGTATTATTCCATATCCGCCTTCGAGTTCTTCTTTATTGGTTCTACCTTGGACTATCACCGTGGTACAAGGAACCGGACCATAACACACACACACACATATATATATATATATATATATATATATATATATATATATATATATATATATATATATATGCAAAGTGGAAAAAATTTTCGTGTGAGGCGTTTCGTCCCTTAAGACTTCATCGGACTGGGACGAAACGCGTCACACGAAATCTTTTTCGACTTTCGCATAGATCTTTTCTTCAAAACTGTTCTATAAAGCTAGCATTAAACATAATGGCGAGACAAAATTTTATTTCGGTTCCACAGCCAACAACTGGAAAACAAGATTTTATCACCGTAAAATGACTCTTAACAATAAGCAATATGCAAATTCCACGACACTCTCAAAATTTTACTGGAATATTAAAACAGATGACTATCCACCGGTAGGAAATTGGCATTTCGTCGTCAAAACTACACCCATTTTCCGGCCATGGCGACAGATGTAACCTGTGTTTGCTGGAAAAAAGATTCATCCTCAAGAATATTAATGATTAAAATCAACTTAATAATCATAATGAACTTGCAATCACAGAAAGAAATAGCTTGCAATCACAGAAAGAAATTTCTTTTCAAATATTTTAATTCTGGATGAATATATTATCCAAATATTACATGCCCTTCCCATATTTTAGATTACATATTAATTACCTCCACACACACCATTTTAACGTCTATTATTACTTAACTAGTTACCTGGTGTTCCTCTTTTAAACTTGAAGGCTTGCCATTTTTTCTTTTCTTTTTCTTCCTTTTACAATAGACCCCCTACCCATACTCTACATTCTGTATTTACACCCCAACAATATATTAAGTTTATATTAAATTTGTGTTTTGAATCTGCGTTTAATTTAGCGTTCATTTCATAAGACCCATTATTTTTATTTAACCAAAAGTAAGAACTCGTGCCTGAGGAGTTCGTAGAACAATGAAACTTTAAGTTGCACTTCTAACGTAGGTATATATATATATATATATATATATATATATATATATATACACTTCTTAGCTTTGTCTAACACCATTGAGCACTATTTTATTATTTAGTTATTTGATTTATCCATGTTAATATATATATATATATATATATATATATATATATATATATATATGATTTATCCATGTTAATATATATATATATACATAAATACGTAGACATATTTAGATATATAAACACGCAAAAAACGCGAACGTAACAGGAAATGAATGTCCACAACCCTTAAAAAAAAAAAAAAATGCTCTACTTTGTATTAAGCACTCTTTTAAGAATAGTATTATATATATATATATATATATATATATATATATATATATATATATATATATATATATATATTATTCTTAAAAGAGTGCTCAATACAGAATAGTATTTTTATATGAGCACTCTGAAAAAAATATTGCCAGCAATACATTATTAAAAGCAATACATTTTTGAAGAAGAAAATATTATAAGCAATACATTTTTGAAAAAGAAAGATATAACCAATAATGATTTTTTGGAAAAAAAAATACCAGCAATACATTTTTGATAAAAAAAAAAATATTACCAGCAATACATTTTTGAAAAAAGAAAAATATTACCGGCAATACATTTTTGAAAAAAAAAATATTACCAGCAATAAAAATTTTGTCGGCATTAAATAACCCATTGAGATGTTGGCATGCCATGAAACAAACCAAACCAAATCAAGCAGACTGATTTTATTACAAAAAGTACTTTTTTGTTCATACGTATTTATAAAAAAAAAAATGTTCGCATTAAATAAGCCTTTTAGGCTAATATGCCGTAAAACAAAAACAAAAAAAGCAAATACTCTTGGGAAAGGCATTAACCCATCCTTTTCTGCCCTCTGACTATGGTTTAACTTTGTAAGAATTTGTTTTAGATAATAATGGTTTTATCGATACAATTATTACTATCTAAAAATGTTTTCTAGCTTTGAATAACCTGCAAAGGGTTGATAACAAATCAAGCAATTTTTCATTCTTTCTTTTCTCACTAAAACCAAACAGCATCTCGAAATAAAACTTTTTCTTCAGATTCTCTACTCTTATCCTCTCTTTCTCTTTCTCTCTCTCTCTCTCTCTCACTTTCTTTCTTTCTTTCTCTCTCTCTCTCTCTCTCTTTCTGTTTTTCCGTTCATCTTCTCTTTCAGTTTTCGTCAATGTTTCCTTGTATTCTCCACTCACCCCACCAGCAAAAAATTTCCTTCAGTTCCAAAATCCCACTTTTATGCCCATGAGATATAAAAATTTACCTAAAATTTTCCTTTACTTTTTAAATTCTATGTTTCGTAGACGATCATGACTCTCCACAGCTTCCTTTTCTTTATTATCTCTGAATTGCTTTAACTTTTATTTTAAATATTGCAGTGGTTTCTCATTGTTTTCTACGCTGTTCTGAATACAGGGTTTTCCTTATCCTAAACTGGCTGCCACCAATGGCTCCAGAGTCTAGTCTATACTGTTATTTAACCCATAACTAGTGAGGAGAAGAGATAGATTCATGCCTTTCACGAGTTGTTAGTGCGAAGTGAAAGTCGAGGTTGGAGTTTGAACTCAGCTCGCTAATTTCATTTTCTGTACCGAGAACTGTCACTCTACACGCAAATCTCTGTTCACTAAAATTACCATATGTTATCAGTTCTGCTACCTTTTGAGAGAGCGTTTACAATTTCTTTATGAAATGGAAAGGAAAATATCTAAGATAGTAAAAAGTTACTTTTGAAACGTAATGGAATTTCCGAATTAAAAAAAGGAAAAAAGGCGTTAAATTTGGTTTGATATTTTATAAGACATTTTGGGTGGTGAGTTGACAACAGATAACAAACCCCAGGTGTTTCTTTTGTCCCAAAATGCGAATCATCAAAGCAAAGGATTTCCTTTTTCAGAAAAGAAGCTTTTCTCGTTAATTTAGCATAGATATCATGTAAACAGAGTCAGGTATCTCGCTAAAAACAGACGAAGTGTCGTCCATACAAGAGAATTGCTTCAGAAGTCAGTCAGCTTAATTTCATATTCGTCCAGACCGAAATCCACAGCCCTATCTCACTCCTGTATGAAGAAACCCCTTCCTGATTGACCATGTCTTCAAGGGTGTAGATCTACACACCAAGTTTACCCAATTGCGGGTTGGTGAGGCTATTTAACCCATATTAGTGGATGGTCGTTATTTCTGAGGATCTCGTCCGCCTTTTAACAGCTCTTGTTTTGGGGATGTTAGGGTTCAATTTTCCCTCATTTCTTATTTATTTTTTCAGTAACATCGACAAAGTCGTCCATTTTTGAGACTTTTGTAAACACAAGTTAGTACTCGGTTTTAAAAATTCTACAAAAATAAAATAGATTTTTCTGAAACTTTATTTGAGTAACATTAGCTAATTTAAAGTATAATTCATCTGATTTGAAACCAATATTATTTTCTGTATCTTCAAAATATCGCAGAATTTTTGGTGAGGAGGGAGAATTGGCCTGGCGGTGGGAGCCGACCACTCACCCACACAAGTTTTGAATTCAGAGTTGTCCTTCCAACAGGTTACCACCCAAGTATATAGGAACCAGTCTATCTTGCTATTTATCCATAGATTCATGCATTTCCCAGGGGGTATTTGCACATAAGTAAATGTAACGAACCTGACTTGGATTTGAACTCGGCTCTCCGACAACACAATCCGAGCTGTTATCCATTACGCCACCCCTATATATTACTCCACATTCGTAATCAATCAGTAAAAGGTCATTTTTTCAGGTGGAAGATAAATATTACCAATCATCCAATACAAGGCCCAATAGCCACTCAAAGTAGAGGCTTAGGGAATGAGGCTATTGTAAGAGAGTACAAGGGGAGAATATGTGGTACGATATATAGGATAGATAAAGGTTGATCCTAGAATTGAAAAGATTATAGTGAGCGGTTTAGTTTGTTTTTCGGCATATCAACCTCATTTTTTTTTTATTTAATGCCGACAAGACTTTTATTGTTGGTAATATATTTGTTCAAAATATATTGTTGCTGTTATTTTTTCTTCAAAAATATATTGCTTTCAATATTCTTGTTTCAAAAATTTATTGCCGGTAATACATATTTTTTTCAAAAATGTATTGCTGGTAATATTTTTTCTTCAAAAATATTTTGCGGCCAATATTTTTTCTTCAAAAATTCATTGCTCGTAATAATCTTTTACAAAAATGTATTGCTGGTATTCAAACCTATTTTTACACTCGTGTTTTGACCCCTTTTGGGGGTGAACTATTTGTCCATTGTTCGAATGGGTGCTATCATCCCAGGTCAGGGGGGACCTGAGAACACCAGCTATTAACAGGTGGTTCCATGCTCCTTAAAAGTCTTCTGATCAGATGCCTTGATCTCGGATGTTATACCCAGGACGCGGATGTAGTTTATCGTCTTACCTAGGACGCGGATGTAGTTTATCGTCTTACCCAGGACGCGGATGTAGTTTATCGTCTTACCTAGGACGCGGATGTAGTTTATATTCTTACTCGGTGCCCTTCATTTGTGGGTGGGGTAATTACCACTCTGCAGAGATGCATTCGGCTTATTCTGTTGACAGGTAGTGATCGGTGAATTATCCTTTCGAGAGTCTATTTCACAATGCAACAGTTCTGTGGAAGAAACTGAACTTCCTCCTTACCAAAGGAATACGAAGAAATTGAGGATGGGTCTATGGCAATGTGGGTCCTAGCTGTTAATGTGTAATTAAAGAATATAGTCCATACTCTCTCTCTCTCTCTCTCTCTCTCTCTCTCTCTCTCTCTGTGCCATGAGTGTAGCAATAGAGGGGAAAAAAACGCTTTTGAAAATAGCTCATCACACACAAGGTCACGTAATGGATGTTAAACACTGTCAAACTTGGAAAGTGAGGATTGGGTCCAGAGGTGACATCAATGCCCCATTTTTGGCCTGTTCTATACAGAGAGCATGAAAGGTGGCAGGTACTGTCTGAAGATGTAGAAAGAACAAACCATTATTTCCAGTATATTTAGCGATGAATCGTATATAGGAATTCAACTTCGAAGAGTGGATTTGGCTTGAATCCTAATAGCTGTTCAAGACAAGATGCCTCATTAAGAGTACAACCTTTCGAACTAAACTAGGGAAACTCCGGACTTGCACTGAGATAGTGCAAGGCTTGCCTTTAAATTAGTTAACTCCACCTTTTTATTAAAAATGAGCATACCATGTTTATAAAGGCCGCAGACTTGATAAAAAGGCCACAGACTTGATAAAAAACAAAGTTTTATCGTCAAAATGTTTATGCTATTATTAACAGGGAAGACAATAATATTTTAGATTATTTTCTTAAATATTTTCATCCTTCTTAGCACTTTCAAAATTTTGGTTAAAAATCATGTTTATTTGCTTTAACGGGTGGGCCAAAGATTAATATGGAAAAGAGGGTCTTTTTTGTGGTTGAAAAGAGACATTGTTTTGGAAATTCTTGAAAAAATCAAATAATTATCGGATTTAGATGAAATGTTTACGAACTCTTCACAAATGAATTAAATTATTTTTTAAATATTTATTAGAAAATCTTGGTAAAAATATCTTTTTTTACAACTGTTTCCCCGACTTAATTTTATGAAATCTCGAAAACCCAAAGAAGGATCTGCAATATAATTGATCTCGACTCACTGGCATCTCGACTCACTTTCTCGTAGACGTGATGTGGCTTCCCTCTGTCTTTTCTACAGATATTTTCATGGCAACTGCTTTGACTTTATTCCCTGGTGCCCCGACTACAGGATTCTGGGTTCCACCTTTTTATTGCTGAAATAGTTAAATGTAACTTCCACTTCTACTGCAACAGTGTCTTTTCTCACACTTCTCGCCGTTTCCTTGCTTTCCTGATGAATACAATCTTCAATAATTTAAATGCACATCAATCGCCATCTTCTATAATCTTTTGTCCTGTCCTCAATCCTCCTTATACTCAGGCTTTTATATCTATCTATCTATCTATCTATCTATCTATCTATCTATCTATCTATCTATCTATCTATCACTGTAACCCTCTGCGTACTAGTGGCATTCCTGTATTGCTTTGGGCGAAATGATTAGATGTAACCAAAGATAGGTTGCTGAACAATCAGGAATGTGAGGCTCGCCCTGGCAAGGAGGTTCCCAACTAGCGTCCAGTTGGCAGATAAAAATAAAGTGGGTTGTAACTGAATACATATTACCAGAGATTTACGGTATACTAAATAGGTATTTATTGAGCACAGTATCCATACTGGAATCAACAGTCAATAGAATAGGCTTGCCAGGGTATCGGAATGGAATCTTCCAGGCTGCCATATAAACCGCCGAGCAACTTGACCAAGTTAGAAGTTCTGTCCGTCAGACAACTTCCATTACAGTCGATTACGAAAATTCTACACTTGCTTGGTAAGATTCAACTTCTATTACAGTCTAGTATCATCGTTTGCCATTACTAAACTCTACAGTTACGTGTTTTCATGTCCCTCTCACGTCGTCCTTTTTTTTTTTTTCGCTTAACTTTATTCCTGTTTTTCTTTTCTATTTTCTATTCCAATTTCGCTAGCTCTATGCCTTTAACAACCGACTGAAGAAACTGAGCCATGATGTGGGCAACCTTCATAAACTAGAGAACCTTGATATCAAGAACAACATCCTTGGGAGTTTGCCGTCTTCCGTCAGCAGGCTGGTAAATCTGCAGATTCTTGACGTCGGCAATAATCTGCTGAAATCTTTGCCGGCCGCTCTGCATAAATGCATCCTTCTTCGGAAGATGTTCGTCTCCCGGAACCGCATCAAGAAACTGCCGCCTAGCCTGCAAAAGATACAAACTTTGGAGACTGTCGAGGCCTCGAACAATCTGATTCGATCGTTAAAGAAAACCATTTACATGAGTCCGGCCGAGTTTAATCTCAGCCACAATCGCTTACAACAGCTGCCCGACGTGGCCGCCAAGAAAAAGAAGACGTCGATGGCTTTTCTGAACGTATCACACAATTTGATTTCGAAAATCCCTAATACGATAAACAAAGCAGAATCATTGACCTGGTTAAATTTATCAAATAACCAGCTTGAGGTAAGTAAAAAAAAAATGTAGTCCATTTTCCCCGTTTTCACTGCTGCGTTTTTACAACATTGTTGCCTGCCTGTGCTGGCCCATTTCGTTGAAAATACGAAATTGTCATCTACTGGAAATAAAATGAAAATAAAGACACTGAAGACGATCTCACGATTTCAATAGCATGCACTCTTGTACAGACTAAGCTAAACGACTAAAATATAATAAAAATAAAAGAAAAAACAGTTTGTATTGTATGCTACTACATGTCTACGCTGATTTGAAAATAGCACTAAGCGCTAATTAAATTAAGACCCAAACACAAAGGTCCGCCATCTTAGAGTGACTACAAAACGTATATATACGTCGACAGCATTCTATGAAAATCTCATAAACACTTATAAGCACTTCTAGAAAGCGTATATAGACGTCAGTAGCAGTCTGTAATGTTCATAAACACATAGCTACAGGTAATTAAACGTATATTTGGAAATAGCACTAAACGGTAATTAAAACCCAAACGCAAGGCTCCGCAATTTTCCTATGACTAGAAAACGTATATATACGTCGACAGCATGCAATAAAAGTTTCATAAACACATATGTACGTCTACCAAACGTATATAGTGATTTTTCAAGCGTAGCTTAGATGTGGCACAAGGCCGAAACTATGTGGCAGCCAGTGAGCATCGAATTCAGTTGTAATTTTTCTAGCGAGACTAGCTTGCTAACCATACGTCAATAGTAGTCTATGTACTGTGCGTAAACATATAGCCGCAGGTCATTAAACGTATCTATCCGTCTATTGTAGGCTATGAAATGTTCGTAAAGATATAGATGTCGGTATTTAAAATCGAAATGTCAATTGAATGATTGTCAAAGCATTTGTTCCGTTCATTAATTATGTAAAACAAAGAAAAGCGTGTTTTATTCTTTTATTTAACAGCATATTTACAGTCTCTTTTCACCGTCTTTTGCCATCTTTCTGGTAACATCTTTCTCGGCAAAGCCCTGCTGTTTTTCCGCAAACTGCCCGTCGACAGCGTTCCCCCTCTCGTCATCAATCCCATAACCGGGTGTGGTTTTGGTTGACTTGTGTGTTGAAAGCCGGAGAGGCCTTCAACACACAACGTAGCGCAAGTCTCGGCCCGTTAGACCTAGACCATCCCTCTCCAGATCAAATCGCTGCCGACGTCGTCCAAGTACGTACGCCATTGTCACCGACACGTGACTGTTGGGTCTATCTGGTGAACTATCCGACCTGGCCGCGTCTAAGAAGGCAGCTGCCAAGCGATACTGTAGCAGGTCGTACTGGGTTAAATCTGCCTCAAAAGAATTTAAAAAACAAAGCAAAATATTTAACCCAGTACGACCTGCTGCATGGTCAGGCCATCAATAACTAAACCAGTTCCTCTGCCACGCAAGGGTCCGCCATCTTACGGTGACTGAAGAACGTATTTATACGTCGACAGCATCCAATGAAAGTTTCATAAACACTGTTTTCCGCAAACTGTCGGGTGTGGTTTTAGTTTCGACGCGCAGTTGAGGCAAAGTTCTAACAGGTCGTTACAAAGTACAATTGGTTTCACTAGGGTGGGTAACCTAGTTCAATAGATTTATTGATTAAAATAACAAATACTAATTTGATAAAAATGCAATATTTTTTGTGCTTATCTTTTTTTTTAAGTTTTATATATAAGAGAGTCCAGTTTCCAGTTCGCCCTCCTCTTGCGAGAACTATAAACAAATCACAAGGCTAAACGCTTCAAAATGTTGGAATTTAGCTCCAGAAAGAAATATTTACGCATGACCAGTTGTATGTTGTATGCTCAAGAGTAAGAAATCCTAAGCATTTATTGTTCGCCGTTAAAAAGGAAAAAGTAAAAAAATAAATTTTCTTAAAAGATATTGTTTACCATACAGTCCTTTAAAATTACATTAAAGACATTATTAAACCGCGAAGTAGGATTTTTGTCAAAGTATTTTTCCAAACAAATCAGCTCGTTCAAATTTCATCGATTGGTTTGCTAAATTGAACAAAACGTAGAGTTTGTAAATCTCGACAAAAAATGTTCGCGATAACTTCAGAAATACTAAATACTGTGAGGATTTCAACGCGCTTCAGTGACCTAATATGTCTGATGTAAAATATTCCTTTAAGATAAGCGAAACAAAGTCGGACGATAGAATTCACTTATGAAACGGAAACAAACGATAGTTTTCCTAGATATCGTGTTACACCGTAAAGACTAAAAGTAAGTGTCCATCACAAAACAAACTAAAATGACCTCATAAATTTCTATTCTCTCCATAACAACAAAGTAAAATCCGAAATAACAATCAGATTATATTTGTATGAAGAGGAAAGATACACTGAAAATAATTCTAAGATCTTCCAATAGCCTTATTATTTCATACTCAAGGCGAAACAAAAGGCTCGTAACATGTTTCAAAATAGAATCTGATATAGTCCTAAAAGACCAAAGGAATCGCATGAAAACTCTTTCCACTCTGTCATATATTTTCCTAAACTCAGAAAGAAATACAGGTTCTCGTCGTAGAATAAGGATATTATGTTGGTGTGGAGATGAGCATACCTCTCCAGAATATGACTTGGGCTGGAGGTGTGTTCATCTCTACAACACACAGTCACACACACACACACACACACACATATATATATATATATATATATATATATATATATATATATTAAACACATTGATTCTATTATAAACCCAACGCTTCTATTATCGTGGTTCATTGAAAATTTGAAAAAAATGTTTTGTTCTCTTTGGTTTCGATGTGTGTTCATCTCCACAACATATATATATATATATATATATATATATATATATATATATATATATATATATATATTTTAATTACTTATTGGTTAGAATAAATTCTATTTTAGTATAACCCCAACTTTAAAGTTCTTAATAGCTATTATAACCTTACTTCGTTGTCAAGTTTTTTTGAATTCTCCTATACTTGTATTTTGATTGGTCATTCGAATGTTAACAACAAATACTTTTTCACATCCAACCCAGTTCTGCGGAATCAGAATCAACGTTGAGTTTAAGCAAGCGAATGAGCCAATTGAAGTAAAGTGCCATTCAGATTTAAATTTTTCCCACTTGTGATGAATGCAGCTATCGATTTTTTTGCATGCTAGCATGCTAGTTAACATTCGTGTCAGTCAGCTGTTGGCTCTCACGCTGGCCAATAGAATCTTCCTGCTTATTTGTGGCAGCCAGCTATAGGCTCTCACTCTGGCCAGTACAAAATGGCCTCAAACTACAAGAAAACTGCGGTAGAAGCATGAAAAAATCGATTATTTCCACTATCGATGGGAGTTGGGAAATGCAAAGTCGGTCTTGGCCTTTCCACTAACTTGGAGCATGTGCAGGTAAATTTTGGTGCAAATCCGTCGAAAATGGCGACCGTGCATTCGTTACACACACACACACACACACACACACACACACACACACACACACACACACACACACACACACACACATCCTGACTTTTATAGATAGAGATTTATGTTCTGAGATGCTAAATAAGTCCGAAGGTACAATTTTATCCAAACATCATATTAAAAAGGTATATTTGATTTGAAACTGACGACACTTTTTCTGAAGTTCGCTCTCAGTGGGACTAAATTGAACTACCAAGCCAAGATTCAAATGACAGTTTAGAATTTAGAATTTTACACGAGAGGCCAAGTAAAACATTACATTTTTATCACTAAAACTCACTGCTAAACGCCCAAATCATTTTCTACATTTCTCTCGACCTGACTAAATATCCAAAGATAGTGCGTTTCTCATAAACAAATTTCATTGATATTTATCAATATTAGCTTAGTATGGCGCAAGGCTAAAAAAAATGAGGTATTTAATAAAAATCTCATTCCTCAATTATAATTAAAAGTGAGCGGCATGTCGTACAATTATTATAACTTTATCAAGTATATTTCCACACTGCGGCTTCCCTTTGTCTTTTCTACAAATATTTTCATGGCAACTGCTCTAGCGAGACACTTTCACTGGTTCCTCAACTGCATGAATTTAAGCGTGCTACTAGGTTGGCGTCTCGGTCCCACCCTTTTACTGTCGAAACGGTTAAATGTAGCCGTCTCTTCTACTCCAACAGCTTCTTATCTCTCACTTCCCGACTGTGGAACTCCCTTCCTCTTACTTGCTTTCCTGATAGCTATAATCTGCAAATATCCAAATGTAATGTCAATCGACATCTTCTGATGATCCTGATCGCCGTCCTTCTCTTTATCATTTCCTCAAACACCCCTCTTTACTCTTGCTCTCACTCTCTGTAACCCCTTGCGTGCTAGTGGCACTGCCGCCTTGCTTGGGTGATATGCTTAAAAAAAAAAGTAATGACGCACATAAGTGCGCGGCACAGCTGCGGACTTTGCCGGGTTTAGTCGGCCGGGAGCAGCCTGTGTGCGAGCGGTGCTTGCTCGTACGACGGGCGGTTGTGCGTAGCGATCTGGCGATTTGATCGGCACCAGGTTCCGAGCATGCCGCGGACGGGAATAGATGGCGACACACGACAGTACATTAGCCGTCGCGCGCGCATCACCACAACAGCGACAGCAGGCCTTTAGCAAGGAGATCGGACGTAACGACGTGGTGTCGTAATCGGGTGCGCGCCAGTCGTTCTCTTGTAGAGCAAAAACAAATGTTGTCACACGAGTTGCCTCTGAAAGACATATGCGTCAAGTCCAGGTCTTTACTTAAGGCTTGTTCCAACATCACTACAGAACTAATATATCAACCTGAGAACTCGAATCATATTCTTAAATACCCTTGTCAGATTTAGACTCTCATTTGAATTCCATTCATAGCATCCAACCCGTTCAGAAATCCGTAATCTACCAGCTATATACAACCGTCATCTCACATTCGTTATTCAAATGTGTTCAAGTAAATGAACCCTTGTGAGTCTTAGAGTCGGACTGCACTTTATCGAATCCAGATACTAACGCTAAAGAATTCCAAATAAACAAATTTACCAAACAACAAAGAACATATCACTTTAAGACACTCAAAATCAGCCACAATTTAAATGGATAACATAATGATATAATCAAAATGTTGAACTTCCACATCACCTTAAACATATGTGTAGGAGGGGAACAAATTAAATAACCTGTATTAAAGAATTCGAAAAAAAATCTGAAAACCGAAATATTTCCAGTCCCAAGAAATTCCCAATATATGATTCTCAAACTGCATTATTATTATTATTATTATTATTATTATTATTATTATTATTTGTTTTTTGAAACGAAACAAGTATCTGAGGTCTGCACTCAAACATGAGAGTGCCAAGAATTCTTCAATCACTAAAGAAAGCCAAGAAATATGAAACTCCTTAGTTGTAATCGATACTGAAGACATCATATATCATGGATCTCACACCGCTGAAGCAAAGAACATTAAGTTACTGGTGAAAGCTGCTTATATGACGATTCTTGAACAAACATGGAGATTGAAACCCATGTATGGAAAATAAACAAAACGTTCTGGATGAACCAGACATCGATATTTGCCAAATTCATCAATGACTTAGAAGCAGTTGTCTTAAGGAGGAGGAGACGGAAGGCCTTATTATGGCAGTACAAGATCAATGTCTTCCGACTAATGCAGACAAAATGGCTCAACAAAATGACTTAAATCTCGCCTGCTACTTATACTATAAATTTGATGAAACTGTTGATCCCATACACCCTTGTGCAAATTAATGGAAACAACTGCTTTAGTTTCATTTCTTTCACCATGCGGTCAGTTTTAGATGCACTGGAGTGACAGGGTGTAATCGATTTCTATTTTTTTCTCAGATTAGGTCATTTGCAGTGGTGTGCAGTTATATGAATCTATTTTCGGGGGGTATGATTAAATTTATTTGGCCTTGAAAAATATTGCGTCATCCATGATTGCATCAGATTTTCATTACAGACAGGCACTATTGTCTCGACTGTCGATTAGTTGTCCTACAGCCATTGTCCATGATGGACGTTACTCTATGAAAGCGTACGAAAATTTGCAACGCTGCACGAACACACTGGCAAGCCTTACCAGTGAGCAAATCAATGTACTATAGACTCGCCCGGAAACTCTTCTGATTTAAATCCAGTCGAGAATCTGTGGTCAGTCTGCAAGGAACGACTTCGTGTAACGAACATACGAAGTACTAACATTTTCTCTGGGTCATGTTTCATTGGAAAAACACAAAAAAATGGTTGTGAGCAAAATGGACACGTGTTGATTACACAGTGGGGATCTCAAAAATCTAAAACGTGGATTGGAATCAAATATGGATTAAAATCCGACAGACTGATAAAATAAACACATAGGAAACGTTTATAAATTTGACATGTTTCGCTTTTATTTAAGCTTCATCACAATATTTTTTTAAAATGATAATGGAACAGACAGTTCTGATACTTTGAGTTTTTGTTTGTTTTATTGGCCAGGTGTATCTCACGTGTTTTTGTCTTGTGAATTGTGTGTGTGTGTGTATGTGTGTGTGTCTGCACATGTGTCTGGACTCTAATGCGCATTTTTGTGACTGTTTGGTAGTGTCCACGTGTTTAATTCTTGAAGATGATAGTTGGAGGAAGACAGGAAAGTGGTTACGCCTGCATCATATTTCTAGTGGATTTTGCAGGAGTTGGTGGTGTCGGTACGTGTGTTTATTGTTGGTTAGATGTAGTCTATTAGTGTTGGGCTAAATTTTATAGTTGGGAAAAAAATCATGTGTATCGGGAAATTCGGAGGTATACTAGTAGGTGTGTAGTGGCTTAATTCTATCATAGATATTATTATTGTTATTGTTATCATCAACAGGAGAAGATAGCCCCGCCTACCGCCCGGTTCACACTCCTCCCCAGTCTTTTGAATAGGAGCAGAGGTTTAGGCGTTGTTTCTTCCTTAGGATTGGGTTTCCGGTTCTTTTTAAGTCTATTTCAACTCTATACTTCTAACGTCTTCACCTGAACTCAGAAATGTTATTCACTAATAAAATCTTGACCTCTCCAAGAATAGAGTTAGCCGTTATATTTCTTGCATAGCCAGCAAAACTTTACTTTTTGCCTTTTCTTACGTACATAGAACACCACACAGTAACGCTCTACATTGAGTGGGTCTTGGGGCTTATACTGGGTGAACGTTAATAAAAAATATGACTTTTGAGTATATGGGTGACAATTTGGGAATATTAGGTGTTGGGTGGGTGGGTAGTATAATAGATAAAGGCTCGCGATTGCTAATCGGAGAGTCGAGTTTGTTATATCTACCTACACGCAAATACCCTTAGGAAAGGTATGAATGCACCTTTTCTCCCCAGCTATGGGTTAATTAGTAAGTCTAAACCATTATTATCTCCCAAAAGAAATCTATCTAAAATATTTTCTGGCTTTAAATTACCTGCAAAGGGTTGATAATCAGTAAAGAACGAATAAATCTTTTTGGTATTTTATCGTCGTTAAAGAAATGTATCTCTATTTTGTTTTTGCGCTGTAGTCGATAAAGCCAATCTTGAAAACTGTTTAATTCTTTTTCTTTTTTTTTCATTTTAGACACTACCCAACCAGCTTGGCTCCCTGCGCAATCTTCAGTACCTAGATGTGTCTTACAATAAGCTAGTCACGATACCTGAATCCATAGCTGGCTGGGAATACTGCATGAGATATTTATCACTGAAATCAAATGATATCGAGGCCCTTCCCGAAGATTTCGGAATCATGAAACGTGTACACACAGTCGATCTTTCGCAGAATGATATCTCCATTCTCCCACAGAGCTTCCTTAATATGGAAGACCTAAAGTTCTTGGACCTTTCAGAAAATGAAATCGAATCTTTCGAATTTATATCACCCCTGAAGAATATTGAACATCTTTCTTTGGCTAGTAACCATCTGAGTCGCCTCCCAGTAGACCTTTGCTATCTTCCTTTTCTAACTTTATTGGATATTTCAAACAATAATATCGAATATATTCCTCATGATATTGGAAAGATACGAACGTTGAAAACTCTGAAAATGAGTAAGAATAACATGGCCGCTGTGCCGAGGACGCTGGGCGAGAGTCAACTGTTGCGTTGCGTGGTCATGTCTCAGAACAACTTGTCCGAATTCATGGACATGAGCCGATTCTATGCCATCGAAGAACTGGACGTTTCCGAAAATTCCATCGTCAACCTTCCGAAGAATTTGGAAGGGCTGAAATTTTTACGGAAGATCAACTTCTCCCGCTGTAACATCTCGCACGTTTTTCTACCCAACAGCGTTACGCAGCTAAACTTGTCAGAAAACCCGATAGCATTTTCGGGTCTTGAGGTCAAACCTATATTGGTTTCTCTCGGCGATAAAGAGCATGCGAAGAGATTGACTCACATAAATATCTGTGGAATAGAACTGGATGAAGTTCCGGAATCATTATGCCGTTGTAAAGTCCTTGAAGTATTAATTATGAATGAAAACAAACTAAAAATACTCCCAGAATGCCTGTGCAAGCTGCGCCAACTGACTGAATTGCACGTTAGTAACAACGAACTGGAGGCGTTACCCACAAATATAGAAAATTTGTTCGAACTACGGATTCTCAAAGTGTCCTATAATCAAATCTCAGAATTTGCGGAGGGACTTTTGAACCTAGCTCACATTATGATTCTGGATCTTTCTCTGAACCATATTTCGAAATTGCCGGAGGGTTATGGTCATATGAGAGAGTTGGCCTGTTTGGATTTAACCCAAAATGAACTCAGTGAATTTCCGGACGCAGAGGTCGATATATTAGCATCGATGCGGGATTTTATACTCCCTGAAAACAGCATCACAGAATTCCCCTCGAATTTAACCTGCGTCTACCGGATACGCAAGCTGGATTTGTCCAAGAATGATATACAAGCGATTCCCAAAGATATCTCTAATATGTTGGGCCTTGAAGAGCTCTACTTGCAAGATAATCTCATACAAAGCGTCCCGAAAACCATCTGCAAACTGCCCGCCATTAAAATCTTAGATTTGTCTGACAACAAGATAACTGCTTTCCCGCCCAAATTGGAGTCCCTTCGTAATAAAGGAATTACTATTAATATCGAAAAACAAGATCCCCTGAAGACCAGGGCAGCCGAATAGTGAGCATCAGAAGTTAATTCGGAAAACCTTAAGGAAAATTACGAAGAAACGAATCGATTTATATATATATATATATATATATATATATATATATATAAAAATAGACTTAAAATCCAGAGTTCTTTAGCATTTAGTTTTAAAAACAGCGCTCAATACAGAGTAAAGCAAATTATTATAATAATATTTTCTATAATCATTTATTCATCGCGACACAAAAATTACCATTTTTCGAAACCAAAAACCTAAAGCTTAAATTAAACTTAAAATTTGAAATTTGAAATTTGAAATTCAATTCCATTTTCAAGGGATGCTGAATAACTTTCGAAAGAATTCATTTACTCTATTTATAAGCTAAATAGTATTATATAGATTAAATTGGTGGTGAAATGAGGATTCAAAATTTCTGTGTCACGATAAATACATATTTTTAAATAATAATAATTATATATATATATATATATATA